GCCTCCTCACCTAGGGCAAATGGCCACCGAAGCGCTCCGAGTACGACCTCGGTGAGCACGGGCAGAAAGCATATCATCGGCACCGCGCGCGGTGGTACAGGGAGCACACATGCAAGGAGCTCACCGGCAGCCTTAAGGAGCAGAATGACCAGTGGGACAACTACAAGCGCAACTTCCGCGCACGTGGCGATTCTGCTCCGCTCGAGAGGCGGCATGTTATTGAACCACTCTGGGATGATTCTTGCGAGATATATTTATGATAAAAGTTCATTACCCGATACTGTCCTCCAAGACATCAGAAAAACAAATCGGCGCGCGTGCGCGCCAGGTCTGCTAGTTCGGTCAATATGGTTGCTTGAGCGTCGTCGCCACCCTCGCCGACTCGCCGAGCCGAGACGAGCGCCGTTTGCTCGACATTGGCACCGTTCGACCAAGTGCGGCTTCGACCGTACTCGGGCATGATCGACGCTGCGTTCACCTCGATCCAGGCGGAGTCGCTCGAGCCGGCCGCGCTCCGCGAGGCGCTGCGGCGCGTGCCCGCCCTTCGCGGCGCGCTCGTCGATCGGCTCATCGGTCGAGAGCTGCAGCAGCAAGCGCCAGACCTGGAGGCCGCCGCTGCGCTGGGCGCCGCACTCGACGCCGCCCTGGCAGGCTGCGCCCAACAGCTCACCGTTCGACTTGCCGCGCGCCTGCTCAGCCACGCACGTTCGTGCGAGGCACTCACAGCAGCCGCGCAGTCCGGCACCTTGTCGGCCCAGACGTGTCTGGCCCTCCTCGCGTCGCTCCTCCAGCCGGCGGCCGCCGCGGAGGAAGCGTCGGCCGATGAGAGCGGCTCCCACGTCGATGGCGGCGTCAGCGACGGCGGCGGCGGCACCGCCGCCGCCGCCGCCGATGCCGACGACCCCCGCGTCGGCCTCGCATCCGCGCTGATTGCGAGGGCCGCGGCGACGCTCGAGGACGCCGTCGTCTCCGCGTCGCGTGGCGGTCCGGACGCGGACTTGCTCGCGCAGTGGGCGGCGCTCCGGCTCACCGCACTGCCAACGTGGCTGACGAGCGGCTCGCCCGCTGCGGCGGCCGCGCGCGCCAGCCTCGCCGACCTCGCCGCGTCGCCCGGCGTCGCCGCGGCAGGACTGTCGGGCGGCCGCGGCCCACTCCTCGCCTTTTCGCCCGCCGGCGCCACGGGTCGCACGCCGGGCAGCATCCCGCGCGCCGGCGTCGGCCACAGCCCGCTCGCCGCCCCGGCCGCCGCCGCCGCCGCCGCCTCTGGCTCGTGCCTGCCGAGTCCGGACGGCGCTGCCGGCGCCGGCGACGCCAGCTTGCCGGCCGAGGCAGCGAGAGAGGTGCTGCGCAGGTCTCGCCGCTCGCGGCGCGCAGCAAGTCCGGGAGGGAGCAGCGCGCCCTCGCCCGCGCTCCCCGCCCCGCGCTCGCTCTGCGCCCTGCTCCGCGCCGTGGCGGCGGACCGCGAAGCGTGGCTGCCAAGCGCCGCGGCGGCGCTGCTGGAGTGCGCGACGCCGCACTCGCTCGCCGCGGCGCTGCAGTGGATGACGCGATCCTCGCAGCTCGCGCGCGAGAGCGAGCGAGCGCGCAGCCCGGCCGCGCTCCGAGGTGGCGCGCTCGCTGCGGCGTGGCTGGCGCCGAGAGGGGCCTGTCCGGCTGCGCGCGGCGAGGAGCGGCGCCCGTCGCAGCCGGGCGGCCACCTCGAGTGGCGACTCGGCGAGCTCTCGCGCGCCGTGGCTCGCCGCTACGCAGCCACGGCGGCGTGGCAGGCCGGCGCCGCCGCCGCCTCGGCCGCCACGCTCCTGGCTTTGCTGGACGCCGCCGGCGCGGGACTCGGTGAGGAGGAGGGCCCCTCGGGCGACGGCGAGGAGGTGCTCCGTGCGGCTCTCGCTTCTGCGAGAGGGGCGGGCGCCCTGCCCGCACTCCTCGCCGTTCTGCGCGACGAGGCTGGCGGCGGCTCGCGCCTGGCCGCGGGCCTCTGCGCGCGCCTCCTGTCGGCGTCTGTGGCACGGCAGGCCGGCGCCGTGCAGGAGCCCTCGGCGGGCGAGTCGTTGGGCGCGGACGCGCTCGCGATGCTTGAAGTGCTGCCCCGCGACCGGGCGCTGCGGGCGCTCGCGGCGACCTTGCCTGCGTCGTTGCGCGACGGCGCGGATGGCGCCTCGAGCTTCCTGCACGCCCTCGGCCGCGTCTCGCCGGGCCTGGCGGCGATAGAGGCGGCGCTGCCGGCTGGCGGCGAGGCCGGCCTCCTCGACGCTGCGTGCGAGCTCGCGCTCGGGAGGTTCGCCCCCGCGCCCGCGCCTCCGTGCCGCGGCTGCACCCTCTGGTGGGTTCTTGACGCGGCGGCCTGGCTGGCGCTGCGCGCGCAAGAGCCTCTGCCGTACGCAGAGTGGCTCTCGAGGTGGCTGCAGGGCGGCGCCGAGGCCGGTCCCAGCTTACTCCGCTCCGCGACGGAGCGGGTGAGGTCGGGCTGGGAGGCGCCGCACGTCGTGTTGCAGCAGTGCGCAGCAGCCGCCGCCGCCTGCTACGACGCCGGCGGCGGGGAGGCGGCTTCTGCGAGCGCGTCTCTCCGCGCTTGCGCGGTGGCGCTGCTCGAGGCGGCCCTCACCGCCGGCCACCGCCCGCCGCGCTGGGTCCGCAGGGCGGTGGGCCGGTCCCGAGCGAGCGGAGCCGCTCCCGCCGCGCACCCGCCGCCGGCAACGCCACCCGGCTTCTCGTGGCTCGAGCGCGGGGAGGGGGCGGGCTGCGAGCGGCTCGAGTGGCTGCTGTCGCTGCAGTCGCGGGGCGAGGGCGCGCTCATGCACCACTTGGAGGCGATGCTCTCCTCCGAGTCCGGCGCCAGCCAGTGGGAGCACTACGTTCTCTCGAGGCGGAGCCTCCGCTTGCCTCCCGCTCCTCCCCCCCCCCCTCCCTCCCCCCAAAGGCCGATTGCGCGGCCGCCCCCCGTCTCGCCGCAGGCTGCAGCCGGAGCTCGCCGCCGCCCTCTCGACGGCCTCCGCCGGCGCGGCGGGGAGGGGTCGGCTCGCCCTGCTCGTCGGGCGGCTGTCGCGCTGGAAGATCCCCGCGCAAGACGCCATCCGCGCCCTCATCGTGCCCCCGATGGCGCTCTGCAGCGGCCTCGACGGCGGCCAGCCGCTCTCGTCGCTTCAGCTGCAGGCCGCCGTCGCCGCCTACCTCGAGGGCGACGGCGCCGGCGGCGGCGTCGTGCCCAACGTGGCGGCGCTCGCCTCGAGCCTGGTCCGGCTCGCGGCGCACGGCGGCTCGCGCCAGGAGCGCCGCTCGGGCGCCGACGCCGTGGCACACTTTCACGAGTGGCTCCCGGCCGCGGCGCTGGTGCGGGAGGTGCGCAAGGTGCTCGCCCTCGAGCCGGCACCCCACCGCGGCGGCGGCGACGGAGACGACGACCGCGGCGGCCACGGCCGCCCGTGCGTGCGCGCGCTGCAGCTGCTCGCGCGGCTGCCTCCACGCCCCGTCGAGCCCGTCAATTGGGCCGCGGTCCTCGACGACCAGCTCGTACTCCGGCTCTCGCCGCCCGGAGTCGATGCGGGGCCGTTCGCGCCGCTCCCGGCGACGGTCGTGGACTGGTGTGCCAGCACGCTGCCCTGCCTCGGAGGGTGCCCCGCCCTTCACGCGCGCTTGCGCTGGCTCGTGCGGCGCCCGGCCCTCTCTGCGCAGTCGGCGGAGCACCAGGAGAGGTGGAGGCGGTCGCTACTGCTCCGGGGCGAGGGCGGAAAGGCGGGAGAGGGCGGGGCGGGGGCGGAGGCAGCGCCCGCCGTGCCGCCCGAGGGCGGCGAGGCTGTCGGCGAGGCGGACGCGGAGCGGTGGGTCGACCCCGAGGCGGCGCGTTTGCCTCTCCGCACTTGGGTACTGTGGGAGCTCTGCGCGGCGGGCGCGGGCTCCGTCGACCCCGCCCTCGACTGCTACACGACGCTCGCCCTCTCTCGCGACTACCTCGGCTCCAGCGCGGGGCGGGCGGGCCGGGCCGCCTTGGCGGGGCAGGTCGTCTCGTTCGTGGCGCAGCACCTCGCCTTGGAGCCTGCCCTGGCGGGGCTGGCCTCGCCCGCGGTGGCGGCGGCGCGGCTGCTCCGCGCATGCGCCGAGATCGCGCCGTCAGCTGCGGAGGAGGGGGCAGCTCGAGCGTTGGGTGGCGCCTCGAGCGAGGGGGAGGCGCGCAGCTGGCTCGCCCGCGCGCTCGCCGCGGCCGCCGACGCGATCACCGAGTTGCGCAGCGCGGGCGGGGCAGGCGGGGAGGCTGCCTGCGAGGTCGACCGTGCGGCGAGCGCGCTCCTCTTTTGCATGAGGAGCCTGCCGGAGGCGGCGGCCTCGGACGGTGCCTCGCGCGGCCACCTCGCCCGCGGCTGGCGTCCTCTGCTCTGTCGGCCTCTGTTCCTGACCGGGCGCGCGCGTCTCCCTGAAAGGCGACACGGCCGGGCGGCGGCCCCTCGTGACGCAGTCCTGATGCTGCGCCGTAGGCCGCTTCTGGCCGAGCTGCTGCTCCGCCTCGCACCACGGGCGACCGTGTCGCGCTCTCCTCCGACGACCGCCTCCTCTGGTGACAGCATCGATTTTGCCGGCGGCCTCGTCGACGGAATGGACGCGGGCCAGCATGCGGCGCTGCAGGCGGCGCTCGATGCTGTCCGCTTCCACCTCGAGGCCCGTCTCGCCGCCGTGCCTTGGCTAACCGCGTCTGTCGAGCAGTTCGCGCGCGAGTTACGATGCGCTTCGGCCGACGCCGTTGCGAGCGCGCCCCCGCCCGCGTCGCCCGCGGCCGCGCCGCCGCAGCCGACCATCGACGCGAGTTGGAGGAAGCGGAAGAAGGCCCCGGAGGGCGGCAGGCTGGCGTCGCCCGACGCGGTGGGCGGAGAGCGAGCCGGCGTGGCCGAGCCCTCGGTTTTTGCATCCAGTGCAAAAGTATGCTGAAACAAGACCCTCCTTTGGTATCGCGTATGCACGCGCGAAGCACAGGTGCTCCATTTTTACTCGATGAAACTCTTCTTCTTTGTTTTTTAGTAGAAGCCAAGGTGGACTCTCCGCTCCTCCGCTGCGGCCTTGATGTCGGCGTGCTGCTCGTGCAGCCGAGAGAGGCTCAGCCGCCGCAGGGAGGGGAAGGCGCCGTCGCGCAGGCCCGCCGCCATCGTGGTGACCCCGTCGGCGGTGATGCCGACGTTGTCGAGCCCGAGCCCCTCGAGCGTCTTGAAGGTCCCCGCGCTCCCGCTCTCCACGAGGGACTCGACGGCACGGTCGTCAATCTTGTTCCCGCCGAGCCCCAGCACCTTGAGCCACGGAAGCGCACCGAGCGCGAGCGCCGATGTCAGCGCGATGACGCCGTCGTTGGTGAGCTCGTTTGTTGCGGTGTGCAGCGACTCGAGCGACCCCAGCACGCAGTTGATCCTAGGCATCTGCGCTTTGAGCGCGGCGGCGAGCTGTTCTATGCCGTCGCCGAGCTTGTTGCCGCCAATGTTGAGGTGGCGCAGCCACGGCAGCGCGCCGTCGCCGAGCGCGTCGACAACCGGCCGCAGCGCCTCGGCTCCTAGCTTTTTGCCCGAGAGGTCGAGCCGCTCGAGCCCACCGAGCGAGCCGCTGCCCATGAGCTGGGCGAGGCTCGAGGCATCCGCGGCGGTGAAGGTCTCTGGCGAGTACACGTTCGTCGCCGATCGGAGGGAGGAGGACGCTGCGGACATGCCTGGGCGTGTCTGGCGAGGGAGCCCGCAAGTGGCGGAGGAGAGGACTGCGCAAAAGAATTCTTAAAATCGCGTCTCTCACAGCACACTGGCACGACAAGGGCGCGGACTGGCGCGGACTGGCACACACACCGGCTCACCACCGGAGCCGCCTAAGCGACTCAAAAGAATTTAAACAAAACAACCAAGTGCTCCAACTCTCTCTCACACAGACAGGCTCGACACAGGTGCGCAAAAGAATTCTTGAGAACAAGCCTCTCTCACAGCACACTGGCACGAAAGAATAAATGGAGAAAATTTTCGTCAAAGCTAACGCAGGAAGAAAAAATATAAAGCTTAAGTTTCCACCTGCGCAAGTCTCCCAGCTGCAGCGCGCGCCGCACTGTGGCAGGTCTGGCACGTGTGCGGCCGCACTGGTTGGCCTGCACAAGCTTTTCCGGCAAACAAAAAGGAAAACAGAGGGTCCCCAGCACTTTGCGTTTCCGGAAATTTCCAGGGGAAACAGAGGGTGTTTGGTGCTCCATTCTGTTTCTCTCGAGTTTCCCTCGGGAAACTCGCGAGTTTCCCTGAGTCTGAGAGCTGGTCTGGGGCAAAATCTGACGCAAAATTGAGGAAATCGGCACGATACCCAGGCGGTCGCAGGGTATTTTCCAGGTATACCCGGGGGTTTCCAGGTATACCCGCAAAATACCCGGTATTTTGCCGTTTTGGCTGATTTTGCTCGAGTGATTTTGGGCCCAAACCAGCCTCAGACTCGGCTCAGAGCCCGGAAAATTTGATGGTTTCCCCGGGAAAATAGAGAGGAAAAGAGAGGGTGCTGTAGAGAAAAAAGGAAAGGAAAAGAGACGGGGTGCGAGAGGAAAAGCTTGTTCAGCCTAACGCACTGGCCACTGCCCCACCGCCCCCCACCCCCCACCCCCGCACCCGCTCCTCGCTTTGGCCTTTGTTTGGGAGAGAGAGAGAGATTTTTAGCAATACCAAACAACTCTAACACGTTTTTGTTTGTTTGGCGGCTCTCGGCGGACGGCGCGAGACGATTTTTGCTTTCTTGTTTTGACCAAGAGAAGAATATGTGCTAGCGGGGGCGTTGGCCTCCGCGTGCGGGCACTCCCCGGGAGCGTGTGTCCCCAAGCTCCCACCTCCCAGGACCCAGCCAGCACGAGCGTCTCTCTGGTTCTCAATCGTCCCGGTCCGGTTGGTGCGCCCGCGGGTCGACCGACCACAGGACCCACCCTCGCCCGCTCTCCAGCCACCGCACCGCCCCAAAGCCCGCGTGCCACTCGTGCGCCTTGTGGCGCGCGAACCGGTACACGGGCGCGTTCGCCGCGACGGCGGCGGCGACGGCGATGGCGGTGGCGCGGTTCGTCCAGCTCGGCAAGTCTGTGGCGATGCAAGGTGAGGTAAACTTCTCCACACACTCAAGGTGGTGGGGCAAGGGCCAGGCAACCCTCGCGACCCCACGTCCAAAGACAGGGGGCCCGGCGCAGTTGCAAGGCCCAGATGCGCGTGGACGAGCGGTGTGTGTGGTGGTGGTGGTGGTGGTGGCGGTTGGGGGTGGGGGAGGGGGTCACCTGTGGCCACGCCCGGCGCGAGGGCAAAAGTCCACAGCGCGAGGGGGACGAGCGGCGAGAGGAGAGCCCACACGACGTAGAGCCTGCGGTGCCGCTGATGAATGAGTGCAATGGAGGAATGGCATTAGTTGGGCTTCACACGACGTAGAGCGCCTGCGGTGCCACCACAGCAGCTGGCAGCGCATGTCGTCAAAGGCGGCCACCAAGTACAGCCGCTCCGCGAAGCCGCACAGGAGCAGCGCGCACCTAGCAGTCGTAGCCAGACCCGCACCAATAGCCACACTAGTCATGCCAATACCGCACAGGGGCAGCACGCGCACGGTGGCACGAGCAGCGCAGCGGCGGAGCCGAGCCGCAGCAGGCCGAGCGAGGGGTCGAAGCCGAGCGAGCCATACCTGTCAGTAACCAATGATCAACTAGTTGATAACTGATGTCTGAGAGCAGTCGTCGAAGCCGAGCGAGCCATATGAGTTGGACGTTTGCTCTTCTCTGTTCTATGTTTATTGGTTGTGGGCGTCGCACCGCTCGTGCAGTGCCGACGGCGTGACGGCGCTCGGAGCGCCTGTTCACAGCGGGAGGCGTGAAGAGCCGCCGTGCACAGCAGCTGGGACGAGGCGACAAAGAAGATGGCGCCGGCGATGAGAGCGACCAGGCACCACATGTACCCGTGCAGGGGGGGTAGGAGCCTGCTGGTCAGTATCGATTCATTAGTTGATCAATGAATTCATCAGCGGGGAGCCGTTCAGGGCGGACGGAGCCAGAAGAGGAGAGGCGGCTCGAGACGCTCGGAGAGGCCGGTGAGGCGGAGGATACTGGACACCTGTGCGGTGTAGTTTGTTGTTCGGTGTACGTAGTAGTAGTTTGCCTTCGGGTTGGGGTTGGGGTAGAGTTAGAGGCTGCACCAGGTCGAGGCCGAACATGAGCAGCCAGCCAAGGTGGCACGCGCTGGTCGGCAGCGTGAAGAGGCCCAGCGAGGCGAGCAGGCCGGCGCTGAGCAGGAGCCAGAGCACCCTCGCCGCTGCGTAGGCGACGCTGTCTCGCCGGAGGTAGCGCATGCGAGGCCCCATCACGCCAAACGGCCGCGACTCGACACCGCGGACGATTCCGGCGTGCAGGTCGACCTTGGACTGCAGCAGCCCTTCGAACCGCGCCTGGCCGGCCTGGCGCAAGCTCTCGGTGGCGCGCTTGCCACGCGGTTGTGCTCCAGCAAAGGCGTCGCCAGCGCCGGCGGCGGCAGCGCCGCCGCGCCGGCGCTTGGGATTGTCGCGCGGAGGCTTGCCTGTCGGGAGCACACAACCGCGTCGGGATCAGTGTCGGGAGGGAGGCAGGCATGGGTCACGAGCAGCGGAATGCTGGCGGCACCCATGGAAGTAGTATCGCGGCCTAGGGCCGCCGGGCCCAGGGGGAGGAGCCTCGCGAGAAAATTGGAGCGCAAACCGCTGTGATCAAGAGGAAGCACGCTATTTCGTGCACTCCAAGTGCTCCAAGTGCTTTAGTCTCTTTCTGCTATCTTGCTAGATAGCTGCTGCGCACTGGCATGCGCGTCAAATGCGCGCACGAGCATGTCCACCGCGTCGGGGCTGGACATCGTGTCTGTGGGCAAGCGGTCGCCGCGGTAGATCACCCTCGGCGCGGCGTCCGCGACCGCACGCTGCAACTCACGCACGTGATGCGCGGGGACCCGCAATAGCCCCCGGAACACATCCACGCCCATGGACGTGCCCATGGACGGTGACCAGTTGCCCGTAGGCCGCGGCGCGCCCACGCTCACCCCCAGGCTTTTAGTTGCGCCGCCTTCTCTGCGCCCGCCGGCCAGCATCCGCGAGCTCAATGTCTTCCGCGAGCTCTCCCGCGAGCTCAATCTCAACTGCGACGTTACCCATCTTGTCGTCCATCCAGGCGCTCCAGTCGAAAAGGACGCTTGCACGCTTGCCGTCCCAGTGGCTCGGCCAGATGTGTTGCTGCGCCGGATGTAAGAAGACGGGGATGCAGCCAACGGAAAGCGCGTCCGCGATCGCGCCGCGCACAATCGTGTCCCCGGGGGGCATGAGGCAAAAGACCGACGCAGCGTATAACTCGACTGCGTCCGCGGCGTTCCGACCATTCATGACCGGCCAGCCGTATCCACACGCAGTGGTCTCGCCGAGCTCACTCGCAGCGGCAGCCAGCTCGGCAGTAGTTTTTCTCGATCTTATCGCATGCAGTGCCAAGTGCTCGGCGCCACTTGTCGAAGCCGTTTTTCCGTGCGGCGCCGTGGCCGTATGCGGACGCAAAGTAGGCGACGCGCACTGTTCGAGGGAGGGCCGCGGCGGCAATGGCAGCAGAGCGCACGTGAGACATATACGGAACCATGAGGACGCCATCGACCGACGCGGAGCGCATGCAGCTCTTGCGGAAGAAGAGCGGGCGGCTGGCTGTCAGCAGAATCAGCCGGCGGTCTGCGTCGCAGCCCCAGAGCGTAGGGCAGAGCGGGCGCTTGGAAAGCTGCAACTCGGCGTCTGTGTACTGCTCCATGACCAGAAGCGGCCGGCCAGGACAGTGCTCGTTCAAATCGTTGGGGCAGGTGCGGTAAGGCAAGGCCACAACGCAAGCGGTGCCGCCGTGCTGCACTCGTGAGGGGTGGTGTGCCAGCTCGTGGAGTACCGCATGCATCGTGATGTGAAACCGCGTCGTCATCAGTTGCACCTGGATACCGCGCACGGTGCCATTGTTGGCGTTGGCGCCCCACTCCGGCCGGGTAGAAGCGAGGTGGAGGGTGTGCTTGGTTGGCACGAGCTCGAAAGTGAAGCCGGCTACCATAGACAGGTCAAGAGGGCGTCAAGTGGATTGTTTGCTTTGCCCTTAAGTCTCAGCTTTTGCCCCATTGCCCTATTTAGTCTCAGCTAGCTGAGACTACAAGTGACCTAGCTGAGACTATAGGGAGCTGAGACTGTAGGGCAACGCAAACAAAGCTCGGTCGTCCGGCCGGAAGAGGCCCACAGAAGCTTCACCCTCTCGAGTGTCGCAATCTCATCCGCCGCCGCGAGCTGCAGCGCGACTGACATTCGCTGGGCCTTTCAGTCAACAACAACATCCAAGTTCAAGACGGAGGAGGCGATCTTCAAAATCGGGTTAGTAAGTTAGTTTTGGGAAGGTGAAGTGTGAAGAACATTGCGGGATTGCGGGCTAGTCTCGCCCTCCGCGCTCCGGCGCGAATGGTTTTTACTTCTTGTTTTGACCGGAGAGAGCACTGAGAAGCGCGGCTATATCATACGTCAGTACTTTTCATAGCCGTTAGCCCCCGGCTATCCCCTTCGGGGGGGGGTTATCAGTGATCATGCTTCATGGGGTGTATTTATGCTTTATCCGCGCCGGGTGCGTGTGATGCGTGTGAATGGAGCGAGGAGACAGGAGTAGCGCGGGACAATAATACCTCTGGCGGCACGATGAGGTCACAGACCCACTGTACATAGACACGAGACCGAGAGGTGGGGGTTCTCTAGCACACCTCAATGCTCACAAACGCGCGCCACGAGTGCGACACACTCAGACAGATTGATCGCTGCGCACCGCAATGTACATACAAACACAGAGCAAAAAGAGGGCGCGGGTCCTCCCGAACCGCTCACTCGGACCGTACTAACGAAGGTAGGAGCGGCCGCGGAGTGCGCGAGCCTCGTCGCTGCCTGCCACGCCCCCGGCGCCGCGGTCCCCGCGCGCTCACGCCCGCCGCGCGCGCTTGCTGCCAAACGCGGCCGCGTGGTAGAAACCCTCCGTGAGAGCGAACGCCGCCTCGCGCTTCGTCGCCTCGCCGTGCTTGGTGAGGAGCGGTGCGTAGCGGCCGGTGTGCGCGCGCAACGAAGTGGCGCAGAGGGCGACCACCTCAGGCGTGCGGGCGCCTGCGAGCGCCGAGAGCCAGCGCCCCCGCGCCTCCGCCGACCTCCAGAGCGTCGGGGAGTCCTTCCCGTCGCCGCCGCTCTCCTCCCTCGCCTCGCCGCCGCCGGCCTCGTCGTCCTCGTCCTCGTCCTCGGCAGCCGCCTTGAGAGCGCCCGCCTCCGACGGCAGGGGCTCGGCGCGCCCCTCGCTGTAGTGCTCGAGCGCGATCGCCACCTCGTGCTCCTCCAGGTCCTCCTCATCGCCTGATTTCACGACTGCCCGGTGTGAAGACAACGCTCACAGAATCCTCCTGACCTCAATGAGCTTCGGTCGCCGTCATCGTGCGTCACGTGCCAGAGCGCGACGTCGCTGCCTTCGGCTGGGAGCCACGAGCCGACCGACGCGTCTGTGCACAGCCAGCGCTGCTCCGACTTGAGCCAAAAGAAGCGCCGCACGCTGCGGCCGAGCCACTCGTGGGCATCGCTCCGCCACGGCTTGCGCTCCGAGACGTCGGCGGCGCTCTGCAACTCGCGCAAGTGCTGCTCGAGCTCCACGAGGGACGCGGCGAGCTCGGAGGCGCGCTCGGCTTCGTCGAGGCTTTGCAGCCAGCGCACGCGGATCCGCGCCTTGGGCGCCACCCACCTCGAGCCCGCCGCCCGCAGGCCGGGGAGCAGCGCCTGCTCGAGCGCACCGATCTCGGCGCGCGCTCCCTCGACGCCCAAGTGGCCCGCCTCGGCGCGCTCCCCCTTCTTGAGCTGCTTATTCTCATACTTGGGCTGCACCAGCCGCGTGCGCGCGCACTCCGCCGCAGCCGCCCTCGCTTCGGCACCAAGGGCCTCGAGGAGCGCCGCCGCCTCGGCCGCCTCGTCCTCCTCCAAATCCTCTTCGTCCCCGTCGTCGTGCACGGCGTGGAAGAGCGCGCCGTCGCCCGAGGCCTCGTCCGCAGGCAGCCAGCGCGTGATGAGGCCGAGCGTGTGGCCGCCCTCGTCGAAGCTGCGGGCGACGCGCCGCCGCACGAGCGCATGCCCCTCCAGCCGCCAGCCCTCGAGCTCGACCGATGTGGCGGCCTCCTCGGCCTCGCGCGCCTTGGCGGCCTTCTCCTCGAACCGGCGTGCGGCTGGGTGCTCGGCGTAGAGGCTTTTCCCCTGCACAACCTCGTCCTCCTCGAGGTCCTCCTCGTCGCCGTCGTCGTGCACCAGCCGGAAGAGCGCGGGGTCGCCTAGTGGGGAGATGTGGGGAGATATGGGGATATAGGGGGAGATATAAGCTGGAAGAGCGCGGGGTCGCCCTCGCTCTCGTCCGCAGGCAGGTACTTAGTCACGCTGCCCAGCGCCACCCTCCTTCCAAAGGCACGCGCGACGCGAGAGCCGAGCAGCTCGTGGCCGGAGGAGAGCCAGCCGCCGCCTAGTGGGGAGATATTGCGAGATATTGCGAGATATTGCAAGATGTTGCGAGATATGAGGAGAGCCAGCTGCCGCCTCCCATGGCGTGGGCCAGCCGCTCGACCAGCTGCTCATGTCGTCCCTGCATCGAGAGGCCTCGCTCCTTGAGCCGCTCCCGTAGCTCCGACACCTTGAGGCTCGAGAGCTCCTGGTCCGCGACCAGCTCCTCCTCGCTCCCGCCACCTCCGCCGCCCACGGCGGCGGCATCAGGCATGCCTGTGAGGAGCGGAAGCCGCAGCTCCAGGGCACGCCTGAGGTCGCTCTGCGCTCTGAGCGACCGGATCACAGCCTTGACAGCAGCGGCCGACATGTAAGCCGCCCACCCCCACGCCGCCCCGGCCGGCGCCTCCACCCAGAGCCGGCCGGGGTCACTGGCGAAAGCCCAATAGCGCCGCCCCGACTCATCGACGCCGAGGGGTTCGGATCGAACCGGACAGCTGAGCAGGTCCTGCACGAGCCCGCGGACCGCCTGTACCATACCGACCACGAGAGTGAACCATCGATTGGTTCGGTACTTTGGAGGTGCGGTACGACCAGCGAAGGCCTCGAGCGACTTGGCGTCCTTCTCCCGCGTGCACTCGACCTTGGCCAAGCGAACACTCTCGCCTACCCAATCAGCGGAATACCCTGAGATCCCCCGAGATCGCACGAGATCGCACGAGATCCTCCCGCTCTCACCAGCCAGCAGCGCGCGCGCCGCCTATGGACGAGTCGATGATCAAGTACCGCGCGGCCACTTCGAGTGCCGCGAGCATCAACTGCCGCTCTCTCCTCTCTCCTCTCTCCTCTCTCCTCTCACCTTCAGCTCGGAGGTGCACCAGAGCCGCCCGCCCGCTAGCTCGCCCTGGTGCCCCGCCTCGACAGCAGCCGCGATGGCCGCCTCGAGGCCGCTCACCGAGCGGCGCTCGATGGCGCCGAGCAGCGCCTCCGTCGCCGCCGCACGCAGCCGCTTTCGCTCCGCACTCCCGTCCGCGCCCTCGCCGACGGCCACCGCGCCCTCGCCGCCGCCGCCGTCGCCGCCGCCGCCGCCGCCGCCGACGCCGTCGCCGCCGCCCTCGCCGGGCATGTGCTGGACGGTGACCGACGGCGCTGCGATCGCCGGAAAGACAAGCGCGAATTTCGAGGACGTGTCGGCGGGCGTCGCGATGGCGCCGATGGCCTCCTTGAGCTGCTTGGTCAGGCCGGCCTGCAGCTCGCGGTGCTGCTTGGACAGCTCTGCGTGCCTCTCGGCGCGCTCCCGCAGCGCGGCCCGCACGGGCTCCGTCGAGAGGCACGCGTCGCAGAGTGCGCGGAAGAGCGCGAGCCGCTCGGCGCCAGGCAGCGCTGCGTACGTGCAGTCCTGTAGCGCCAGCAGCGCCGCCTCGCACGCGGGGTCGCCGTGGAACTCTGGCAGCAGCCAGCCCACGCAGCGGAGCACCTCGGGCCAGTTGGTCCGCGTGACGACCCCCGACGGCGGCAGTTGCTGGAGCGTGGACGCAACGACCCGCGTGTCGACCGGCGGCGGCACCTGGCCCGAGGCGAGCTGCGCGGAGTGGTCCAGAAGCAGCCGCAGCAGCGCCACCGACGCCTCGGTGAGGAGGAGCGGCTCGCCGGGGTGGGTGAGCGCCTGGCTGAGCTCGGCCGCCGAGAAGGGCGAGACCTTGAGCACGCCCTCGCCGAGCGTCTGGAAGAAGTCCCACGCCGCCAGCACGTCGGCGGCGCAGACGGCGGGGCCGCCGTCGACCCATCCGCACGGCGGCAGCAGGTGGAACGGGTCGGGACGGCCCGCCGCAGGGCATGCGGCATGCGGCGGCTCGTCGGCGATCGCGGCGTCGGCAACCTTGAGGGCCTCTCGCAGCCGCATCGCCGCAAGCGCGCGATCCGACCACTCGGTGGAAATCCGGGCCACCTTGCCGCCGCCGCCGCCGTCGTCGCCATCGGGAGCGGGGCGCTTGCTGCCACTCGCCCGCAACGGCGCAAAGGGCAGCGTCAGCTGCCGAAGCGGCTCGCCGTCCTTGTGCTTCTTCCCCACCGCCTCTGTCACCGCCGAGCTGCATCCAGCAGCCGATGTCGAGGCGGCGGCAGACGACGAGGCGGCGGGAGGGGCGGCAGCGTCCGTGGGGAAGGCGGGGGCATCCGCGGCGGCGGCACCCGTGGTGGTGGCGGCGGTGGCGGCGGCGGCGGCGGCGGCGGAAGTCTTCTTCACCTTGTGCTGCTCCCTCGCCTCGATCGGGTCGAGCCCACACGCAAAGCACAGCCTCTCAAACTCGGCCCACTCGGCATCGTGCCGCGCCGTGTCCGCCTCCGCCGCGGCTGCGAAGGGAGCTCGCTCCTCGTCGCTCATGCCCTTCCACGTCGCCGCGAGCAGCTTCGTCACATCCGGCGCCTGCAGCCCTGGGTTTGCCGTCGCCGCCGCTGGCCGCTCAGAGGCCGCGTAGCACTCGTACGCCGATCGCGGGCGCCGCGGCGCCTTTGGCGGCTTGGCGTTCTCCTTCTCCTTTGCTTCCGCCGCCTTGGCCGCCTTGGCCGCCTCCCTAGCCGCCCTCGCCGCCTCCCGCTCCGCCTTTGCGGCTGCCCTCGCCGCCTCCTCCTCCGCACGGACAGCCGCCTTGGCGTCCCGTTCGGCCTGCTTGGCGGCCTTGGCCGCCTCTTTCGCAGCCTTGGCGGCGGCTCGCGCAGCTTCCCTCTCCGCCTTGGCTGCCGCGCGCGCCGCCTTCTCCTCGCCCTTGGCCACCCGCTCCTCGAAACGGACCGCCGCAGGGTGCTCCTTGTAGAGCGCCACTGCCTCGCTGACCTCGTGCTCCTCCAGGTCCTCCCCATCACCGTCGTCGTGCTCTGCTCGCCAGAGCGCTGGATCGCCCTCCGCCTCGTCCGCCGGCGCCCACGCGACGATTGTCCCGAGTGCACAGCGCTTGCCAAACTGGCGCGCGACTCGCACGCCGAGCCAAGGGTGCCCCGCCGTCTCCCACATGTCGTCGCTTTGAGCAGCCACTGCAGGCGCAGCCACGGCAGGCGCTGCCATGGCAGGAGGAGGGAGAGGCGGCGTCGGCGGCGAAGGCGGCGGCAACGGCACCGGCTGGCAGCGGGGGGTTTGGACGGTTTTTGTGGGGAACCAAATTCGGCGTTCCCGCCAAGCAAAAAAAACATACACCTGCTCGGGAAACAAGATCTTCGTCACAGCGCTCTCCCAGAGCTCACCGATCCATCGTCCGCTGCCCTGTGCACGGCTGCCTTCGCTCGAGCCGGCGCGAGCCCCTGGCCGGCTCGCTCGACTCTTCCTCCGGCGGGCCGCCTTCTCAGTGCAGCTTGCCTGCGGAGAGCTTTTGCCGCACGACGGCGGAGCCGGTGTACAGCATGCCGTCGATGATGCCAAAGACGGCGACGACGCCACCGATGATTGCGCAAAAGGAGAGGACGAGCTCCGAGGTGGGCTGGCGCCTCTCGGCGATGTTGACCTGGATGGGCGAGACGTCGTACGAGATGAGCAGCGAAGGCAGCGTGTCCTTGGTGCGCGCGTGGGAGGTGGCGGTGAACTGGTACGTCTCGACGTGCGCGACGGAGCCGGCGGGCTGGTATCGCGTCGGGACGATGTTGACGTGGTGCTCCTGCGTGAGGTGCGCCGTCGCGGCGGTGAAGGCGCGCCCGTCGAGCGAGAGCAGGTGCTTGCGCACGTCGGGCGGCAGCCCGCGCCGCTCGATGGCGCCGAGCTCGAGGCCGAAGGAGAGGTGGTCGATGTGGTGCGACGTGTTGACGTGCGAAAAGTCGAACGAGTGGCGGCTCGAGTGCGGCGCGAGGTGGATGGTGCCCGGCGCGCGCGAGACCTCGACGTAGCCAAACAGGTTGCACCCCTCGTGCCCGGCCTCCTCCTCCCACATCTCGAGCGGCGAGCCGTCCTCGTCGAGCGGCGACGGCTGCTTGGCGCCGTCGGCCAGCAGCGCCAGGACGTGGTCCGACGAGGCGTCGCGCACGGCGCGCGCCTCGGCGCCCTCGGAGCCCGCCTCCCTCGCGTGGCGCAGGATGTGGCTGATGTCGACCCCCTTTGCGGCGAGGATGGACGAGGCCGCGTCGTCGATCTGCGCGAGCAGCTCGCGGTCCTCCGCCACCTCCTCCTCGGGCCCGAGCGCGTCCTCGGACCAGTCCTCGTCGAGCCCCTCCCGCCGCCGCTCCATCGCCGCCTTGAGGTCCGCCGAGATGTGCGTGATCTGCTCGGCGAACCCCTCCCGCTCGGCGGCGGGCACGTCGTGCATCCGCTGCACCACCACCTCGGCCGCGATCTTGACCATGTGCAGCCAGATGACGTTCTCCTCGCGGCCGTACTCGTACGGCTCAAAGGCGTGCACGCTCCCGCGGTAGGTCCGCACCGTCGGGAACGCGTGGATGGAGTGCGAGCGGCACAGGTCGCGCCCCTTTGCAGACGTGCAGTCGACGCGGACAAACGCAAACGACTGCGAGTAGGCGCGCGCGTGCAGCCGCCGCCCGACCGCCTCCCACGCCGGCACGAGCTTCTGCGACCAGAAGCACCACGGCGCGAAGAAGTTGACCATCACGCCCGCCTTCGACTTGGCGAGCGCCTGGAAGCCCTGCTCGTCGAGCGCGGTGCCGTCGTCCAGCTGATACGGCCCCGGCCGATACGAGCCCTCCTGCAGCAGTCACGGGCGGCGGGCGGTGAGGCGGTGGAAGAAGGAGCCAGAGCCGGGCGCCACGAGCCGCGCACCCCCAGCTGCGCCGCCGCGCCGCCCTCCGCCTCAGCCGGCTCGCCCTCGCCGCCCTCGCCTGCCTCGCCGGCAGCGGTGCCCTGCTGTCTGCTCAGGTCGTCGGCGTGCACTTGCGCCACCCCGCCGGCCGGAGGATCGGCCGGCGCAGGCGCGGCCGCGCCGTCGCACGTGCCGGAGCAGACGCGCGCCATGAAAGCGGCGGACGCCCCGCAAGCCCCAGACAGCTTCCACGCGGCGCACGCGGCGATGCGGCTGACCGTCTTCATGTCGCGCACCCGTGCAGCGCAGGACGTCTCGCACTCGCGCAGCAT